ACCCTCGGCTCTACGCCATCTCGAGACCACACCTGCGCGGTCACCCCGCCTGCGTTGTGCTCCTCGGCCCTTGGCTTCACGCCACCCGAGACACACTTGCGCGGTCACCCCGCCTGCGTTGTGCTCCTCGGCCCTCGGCTCTACGCCATCCCGAGACCACACCTGCGCGTTCACCCCGCCTGCGTTGTGCTCCTTGGCCCTTGGCTTCACGCCACCCGAGACACACCTGCGCGGTCACCCCGCCTGTGTTGTGCTCCTCGGCCCTCAGCTCTACGCCATCCCGAGACCACACCTGCGCGGTCACCCCGCCTGCGTTGTGCTCCTCGGCCCTCGGCTCTACGCCATCCCGGGACCACACCTGCGCGGTCACCCCGCCTACGCTGTGCTCCTCGGTCCTCATCGGCTCCATCGGCCCCAAGTCCAACCCTGCTCGGCTTCCTGACTGAGTTACGCGCCTCGGCCCCATGTTGCACGAGACGTGTCCGCGCGGCTAGCCCGCCCACGTCATACGCCTCGGATCTGCATGACCAGCCCACCTGAAGTAAGAAGCCATGCATCGGACCCCCTGCATGCAAGAACCAACGCATAGCTCCTTTCGGGGGGGGGCATATGATAGGGGTAAAAATGGCGATGTGACACGCCATGACAGCAACCCCCTGAGCGACACATTGCCCGAGGCATGCCATACCCTGCAGCAGCTCGGCCTCCCACGCCACCAAAGGTACAGTCCTACCCTGCAGACAACCGCGTCAGGTAACATCAAACCTCCTCTATAAATACCCCTGAGTCCTAAGCAAAAGAAAGAGGAGGAACTCACTCAGACACAAAACACTCAGAGGCTCTTCTTCTGCCTCATCCACAATCCCCTCCACATCTTTCTCTAATTTGATCGTCGGAGGGGTCGGGCCAAGCTCCCGGCCCGACTTGTGTGCAGGTGCGAGACGGTGTCGCCTCTTCCTGAAGCTGCGGCAGAGCTGCCTCCCGACCCGAACCGCCGACCCGAACCACCGACCCGAACCGCCGACCCGACCTGCCGAACCAACCTCCCGACCCGAACCACCATGCTACGGCCGCCGGGAGACCCCAAGGGACGACGCCCGAGATCCCCGACATCCGGACCCTCGAACCGAGCCGCGACGCCCCGAGGCCACGGCTTAAAAAGTTACTTACCGTAACAACGACTGCGTCGATAGAAGGAGACTCGAAAGCTTCTACGATACCTTCTTCTGTAGCGGCGTAAAAGAGGCCTTTGTGATGCATGGCATGTAGGAAGTTGAGCGGATAGGTCGCCACGGGATGCCACTAGCTGCTGAGCGGAGGTGTGAAGCACCACCACGGTGTAGGAGGAGGGAGAGGTCCAGGCGACGACCGCCTTGTAGAAGTAGCAGGGGTAGAAATGCTCCGCCTCATAGTCCACGTCGTTGTCGGTATCGTGGAGGACGTAGTGGTGGATGCGGCCGGAGGAGGGGTCGAGTACGGCGTCGACGCCCGGGAAGGTGGTGACTGGGGGGAGCAGGATCCTGGCGCCGGCTAGCGGGTTGAACATGGAGAACTCGCCGAGGTCGTTGATGATGAAGATCCAGTCGTCGGAGGAGCCCACGCTGCGGAAGGGAGATCGTGAACTCGATGTCGTGGGCGAGGTCGTAGACTCTGCAGGAGGAGAAGGCGTCTTCGTCTTCGTCAGCGTCACCGGATCGGGATCCGGGAATCATCAGACTTCGGAGACGGAGTTCTAGGTTCTGCAGACAGCACGACAGCGGACGTAGTCGCGGAGGCCGAGGAGACGGAAGACGGAGGAAAGGAGGTGGGAGGGAAGGCGGTAAGACCAGTCAACGAGCTCCATTGTAGCACGAGTCGAAGAGGAGGACGCCGTCACTCAGAAGAGAAATCGAGGAGATTAGGAGTCCATTTATAGAAAGGGTTGAAATCTGACGAAGGATTAGAGGAAAGGTATCGGGTAGATTAGGAATATGAATCAGATTATGATTAAGATTTAGATAAGCGTCCTCTAACCCAATTGTTTAGGGTGATGTAGGATCCACACTGTTTGTGGACCCACCACGTGAACTATCTACATTATATAATAATAATAATTGAATTATTATAAATAATAATAATTTTTCATTTTTTAACAATGGAAACAGTCTTATATATATATGAATAATTCAATTTTGAATTATAGTAATTCGAAAATTTAATAATTATATATTTATTAGAAAATAAATAACTATAAAACGAAGGAAAATTTTCATCAGAAGCTAATCCCGATTAATTAATCAGCTAATCAGTAAGGCATAATGATAATATTTGCAATCAACTTTGTCTGAGGGGTTTTTAGCTTCATGTTAGATTCTTAGTTTTGATATGATAATATATAGACTTTTTCCTTCGATGGTTAGTGCATAAATTAAATTAGATCGGATATAGTAAACAAATCTAATAAATATAATATTTGAAATATAAAGATAAATTTATATTAATAGAAAACAAGTAAATAAGTAACAATAAGAAAACAAAAAAAAGAGAGTTTTTAATGGAGCCCATATAAGCGACTATTTTTGGAACTGGAGATTAAGCTTAACCTAAAAAATATATTCCTCGAATAGAGCTTATAAATACTCTCTAATGCTAATGCTGAAGTCAGAAGTACTTCATTATATAATAATTTTTGTTAGCTAGAAAGTGGAGTGGTTTTTTCCTAGCTTTCTTGTCTTCTTCTCATCTCTTTTCCTTTTTTCTCTCCCCTTAAGCAGGATGCTCCATCTTCAATGGAGACAAGTGCATTTGTCAGAGGAGATACCATATAGCTTATTCTTTATATGTCATTTTGATTTGAAGCAATGGCAACGATAGAGTGAGCTTAAGATTAAAGTGGATAACATTCCTTGATATCATATGATAGACAAGTGAGATTTAGTCAAGTTAAATATTTAATTTAATTTAATTTAATTATCCCTTGATTTTATCAAGTTACCTCACTTTCTCCACCTCCACTATTTCTTCCTCTTCCTACTCCAACGCCTCCTTTCCCTTCTTGTAGCTTTCCTCATCCTCACCTTTCCACCGACTTCTTCTTCCTCTCCCTCCCCTCGCTTCCTCCTCCTCCTCCCCCACCTCGCTTCCTCCCCTTCTCCCTCATCTACCTCCTTCACCCCTTCCTCTTCAACCGTTTTCTTAAACTCCTTTATGACTCCCCCTCTTCCTTCTTCCTCCTCCACGTCATCTTTCTTACAATTTACTTAGATTAGCTATTATGCTTGAGTTATAATGAACATATTAAACAAATATATTAAATTTTATATAAATTATTTATAATTCATCATATATTAGAATATATGTCTTAGTAATTATAGAGAAATTTGGATTGATTTGATAAAAATTAACTTGAGTTGATCATCGATTTAATAAAAATAATTTCTTAAACAAATAATGACATTGCCTAAGAAACTTTACTATTGACCATGCATCCAATAATGTACTATTGCTTAGGAGCGATAGTACCTCCTAGACTTAGCAATAGGAGTAATAGGGGCTAATGCCCTATTTGAAAATTTTAATCATCCTGAATTTATTAAAAAAATAATATTAAACATCTTATAATAATATGCTAGTAGTTTTGGAGAAGATTGGCTTGATTTGTTAGAAATTAATTCAAGTTATATTTAATTGCATATTCAACCCAAAAAAATTATATTTAAAAGCTTAATCATCGTAAATTTATAAGAAATTAGAAAAAAATGATGCTATATATCTTAGAATATGTGTTAGTAGTTCTGTAAAAGTTTGGATTAGTTTAATGAAAATTAATTTGAGTTACATTCGATCATATTCAACACAAAATATCCTATTTAAAAAATTAATCATCCTAATTCATACAAAAATATAAAATGATACTAAATATATTAGCATCTCACTTTAAGTAGTTCTAGAGAAAATTAGATAGGTTTGATAAAAAAATTAAAGAGTTATCATCCACCGCATATTCAACCCAAAAATATATTATTTTAAAATTAATAATTTTAAATTTATACAAAAATAAGAAACAATTGATATTAAAAATATTAGTATTTATCTCTAGTAGTTTTAGAAAAGTTTAGATAGATTAAGTGAAAATTTAAAGAGTTACCCTCCACCATATTTTTAACCCAAAAATATCTTATTTTAAAAATTAGTAATTCTAAATCCATAAAAGTTAAAAAGTGATACTAAACATATTATTATCTCATCTTATTGATTTTGGAGAAATTTAGATATGTTCATTAAAAATTTAACGAGTTACATTTGACTCAACAAAAAAAATCATATTTAAAAATTTATTCATTGTAAAATTATAAAAAAATCAAATATCTTAGAACTATATATTAGTAGTTCTAGAAAAAAATTGTTATACTCAGGTTATACTAGAGTTATACTCAGGTTAGACTAGAATATCTTAGTTAATGAGAATATCTTTGTGACACTAGAGTTATACTCAGGTTAGACTCATTCTTAGATTCAGTAAAATTCAATCTAATCTATTTTAATAGAACCTGACCTAAAACTTTGTAATCCGATTTGATTCAAATCGACCATACTTAAACTGAATATTGATCGGACTGAATTGACCCATGAATTGATGGCTTGAAATAGCTTGATTCAAGGGTTTTATCGAGATTTAAAAAAATATCCATCGATAAAAATCAAATATAAGGAGCGTCATCTAATAAATTACTAATTTTTGAGATATATTATCCTAATATATTTATTTTTAAGTTAAAATATTGCTAATCCTTTGATGCGTAGTTGATCCTTCGGTTCAATCAATCAATGATCCATCAATCTGGGATTTGATCGGCTCGATCAATGATGATCGTATAATACTCGTGGCCCTAATCTCAGCCCATTATTTATTTGTCGCTAAGAGATACTCTTCAAGGGTATTTGTGGTAAATCACATGGAGGGATGACATGATATTTTTATTCCGTAGTTATCCGAGCCACCAAATTGGTTGGCTTCTCGACGGATAACGGTCATTTCGCCCTTCTCCTGTTAGCTCTCTCATGGGAGGCTTTAGGGCCATGGAGATCACCCTGAGACATGCCCACTTTTGCCTCAGATGCTCCGAGCTTAGCAGCCCCTCATACCCCCTTCTGCCGAGAGGCTCATCGTTCCGTCGAGTTCGTCTTATTGCTAGGAGAAATCTTGCTGTGTCAGTCTCCAAGAGTTCCTTTCCAGGTGTTTTTTTTGCAGTTCCCGTTCCTTGGCGATTGAGTTGGAATTTGGATACTTATTGCTTATCTTCCTTGGAATCGATTAACTTTCCTGAGATAATAGCTGCGTAATATGTGTCAGTTGAGGAAAAATTCCTCTCAGTATTTGGAGAGAATCTGCGTGATTGCATTGGTCAAATAAGACACGAATCATTTGGTGTACAGGCATTTCTCTTTTTTTACTCGAAGCAAGAGTATGTAGACATATGTTTAAGTTATAGATGCTACCGGATTCACTGTCAGAATGTAGCACTAAATTAACCGGGACAAGCTTTGTACTATGACAAGGGTTTTTTTTTTTTCGGAAGATATGATAAATGAATGTTGCAAATTGTCTGTTGGTTTGAAAGTGTGCATGTAAATTTTTTTCTTATATAAATGTTCCTTTAAGTAGCTGTAGGTATCAGCCGAATGAAGAGATTGATCAAGATATTATTCAGAGTAAAAATAGGATGGTTAAAATAATGAGGGGTGTCGGAAGACTTGTGATTTTTTATAGGAAGGTTAAAATACGTTTAGTAAACTTAACTAAACGTATGATTTTTTATATATCTCATTGGCGGCAAAAGATCCACGTAGCTGAGCCAGAAAAATTGGGACTTACGGTTTTGTTGTTGTTGTATATAGATTAACAAGAAAATCATCGGACTTTGCATCGTACAAGCATCAGTAACTTGCTTGTGCACTAATTTGGTTTATCTTCACTAGTACTTGATTCTGGTATCTGAAGTATTATGCCATCCTACAGAAAGTGAAGTTGCTCGAGAAGATGTGTTGCAGATGTTTTTGAAGGACAGACAATTAAATGGAGATTTTATATCTAAAGTTTCAGACTTTCTATGGAGCAAGGAAAATATTGAATTTGCTGAATTGGAAACGAACACCTTGAAGGAAGATAATCAGTATCATGAAGAGGTAAGGTATCTCATTTTACTTGACTTTTTCTATTGTGGTGTAAGTTTTGTTTCTTATGCTGCTGCCTATAGCTTTGTGAAAAATATCGATGGTTTCAGAAGCTTTATCTTTCTTTGACTTCAATATAGGTGGTAGAGACTGACAACAATAGTGGGTTTTTGAAGCTTACAAGAACCAGAGAGTGGGTTTCTGGACAAAGTATTGCACCGGCTAACAAGAAAGAAGTAGCTAAGGTCTGGTCTATGTAATTAACAAGAAAGAAGAAGCTTTATTTGTTTCATAATGGATGCCCTGGGCAATTTGCTTGGTGTTCTATGTACTAGGATAAAGTACTTTTGAGGATTTAAGTGGCTTTATTAAGGTACCTAAGATCCTTCTAAACTTGAGAATTTTTCGCACAGAATTGGCAGAATGAAAGCGAGAAGCGAAAGAAACTCAACCTTCTAAAATATGAAGCGGTAGGTCTCAGAATCCTTCATTGTTTGGATTCCTTTCTTTTCTATGTCAATATACTTCCCTTGATGCAAGCACTTATATGAAATTTTTGTACATCGAGGGAATCAATGTAAACTGGATAAGTAATATGACCTAAATGGGGAAATTAATAAGTTCAATGTGAGAAGATATAAGTCATATATTATAATTATACTACTGTATTTCAGATTCATCGTATGCGCTAAATTATCTCAATGATTAACTCTTCTCTTGCTTGTCGAGAACTTTAAGCAGCTTAAGAGGGAACTACTGGTTTTGACAATAGGAGTTGGAGCAGCCTGCAGTGTGTATTGTTTGGTCGTCTTTTCTTTCCAGGTACTATGCTAATAAATAAACTGATTTTGTTACAAATTTTCCATAATTTCTGCATCTGCAATAACAATTTGAAAATGTCCATGTAGTCCATGAGCTGGTGATGTGGTAATGATCAAGAATGTTTGTCTAGTTTCACAGGAAGTTTTCTGAAATGCAAATGTGAAATTGGTTGTGTTTGATTTCCTTGAACTTTGGGAAACCTATCGCCTACTTAAGTACTACACCATAAAAGTTGCAATAGGAGGCAGGTCGTGAATATGGAATGTATATGAGTGGGTCGGTGACAGATAATTTCTAACTCTTAAGATTTGGCATTTGGCTTTTGCATACAATGTTTTCACAATGTAGCTTCTTAGAACAACATGTTTCCATTGTTGGATAGTTTAGCTTTGTTTAGTCTGTCTGTTAATGTACCTTTATCTCAATCTACAGGCTGCTTTTAGTTATGCTTCTGGAGTCCTCTTCAGGTTAGTTAAACGATCTTTTTATACACCTTCCAAAGTATTTGAGTGATAATCACAACACTTTACATTTACTATCAAGTTTCTTTGGACCTGGGAAGAATTATAGTTTACTTTATCATCTATTTTTTATTATGTAATTATAGTTAGAATATTTCTTGCACACTTGCCTTAGTTAAAGGAGCTTCATTTGTTTTGGATTTTACTGTTCGTTTTAACACTGACATAAATCAACTTCCAGTGTCAATTCTCTATGCAGGAATAAATTTTTGATCTTCTCATGAAGAAGTTCAGAAGCTTATATGCTTGTTCTGTTTTAGATAAAAATAAATACCATAGTCATCAAATTGGCATGTCATATGAATTGAAAAGTTCATAAGAGTTGAGATTACTGGACCAGTGTTGAACTTGTACTGTTGCAACAATCTGTTACCAGAATTAGGCTGCACCAACCATTTGGATCATTTAAAGTGGATTTTTCAAGACTGACTGAAGCTTGCATGCAATGCACTATAGAATGTTCTGTTAGAAATAATTATGTTAAACACCTTTGTTTATATTTCTGAATAAGATTTTGTCGCTCGATATTTTTTATTTTTGAATAAGATTATGCATCCTTGCTACTTTACCACTTTTTTTGCTGAATTCTTTGGCCGATCTTCTAGTGTCTTAAGTGGCTTGTAGATCAATTAAAACAAACCTAAAGAACACTTGCTGTTTTTTTCCCATGGAAAATGACATGGAATGTTATTAACTGCATAATGCCTATACAATTACAGACTAGATAGGCACTATACCTGGATTTTTTAATCATATTTTCTGTTTTGTAGAACAGTTGCTTGTACCTTCAGCTTTTGTATAATCATGCAGACAACTTGTCAAGGGAAGCTATTCCTGAGATCTTTATGCAGAAGAAAATGAAAAGGTAAGTTACTAAAAGATGGCCATTGTTCACTTCTTGTACTAGATCATGCTAATTCTCTGAAGCTCATGTGGAGAATCAAAATGATTTCATAATCTAGAATTGGAATAAGAAGCGAGGACTTAAAGAATGTTTTGGAGAAGACATTGAGTGGAACTGCTGTTGCACTTTCTTCTCCCAGGCTTGTAATTCCTGCCGCAATATATGGATTATGGGCCTTCTCACAACATTTTCCCAATGGTTATTTTGATTTTGAGGTACCTACATGGAAAATTGATTAATCTTATGAAAGCTTAATTGGTTTCTGCCCTTCATGTGTTATTTTATACCATTGAATCTTTGTACTATGTGATTTCAGTTGTCTGTTGCTTGTTGGTGATTTTTTTTATTATTATTTTAGTTGATGAGAGTTGGGTAATGATAACCTCTTATCTATAGATACGAAAACAAACTTTAGAAGCTCAGGAGTTTAAGAGTAGTTGGGTATGGAAGTTGAGGTGCAACTTTAACAATATGAAAGAAAATGAACATAATTGAACTAAATGGTAAAAGATTGCATAAGTCAGAAACTATTCTTCTTGGAGGTATTGAAGATATATCATCCTCTTAAGTTTTACTATTATAACGTGGGACAGTCAAGTTGGTTTAGCTGTATCAATCTTGACGAAGTTATCAATGCTTAGAAAGTCTATTGTCCTTTCTATTATTAACTTAAAATAACTAAATAGCTTATTCTGTTTGGGAATTGCACATGCATATCTTTGTTAGTAACTTATTATATCACAGACATTTGCAATCACTTTCTAACAACAAAATAAGGAGTGATTTTGCTTCATGTTTGCTCCTGTGGTAAACTTGCATAATTTTGCTCGTGACAATAGAGGTCAATTACACTGTATCATAGTTCCTATGTACTATGACTAGTAGCACTTGACTGTCATAATAAATCATGAGAACTAATTGCCCATCTAACTATTACGTTTCTGCGTCATCTTTCATTCATAAATGTCATTTTGCATGGTTGTTGTGATCAGATAAAATTTTTCTGCTAGCTTCATTTTTCCGGAAGAAATTGGGTAGTTGTAGCTTCATATGTCTATTTGTTGATATAACTAAAGCACTTGGAACTTTATACACACCAAGCAAATCCCTCTTTCCATTAGGATGCATAATACTTGGAATCTTTCCAATGGGAAACATGATTAAGAACCTGAAACAGAATCCTTGAACTTCTTGAACAAAAGAATCCAAAATAATTTTGGGGTTTGGTATTCTGGGTTTTGCTAATATAGTGCTTGCTTTTACTTGGGGCACAAGATCATTGTCAAGAAAAAAAGGGACTTATCTGAAGGTTTAAGACATAGGTAGTAGGTAGGAGCTTATATTGAGCATCAAACAATGAGAATCAGTAATTAATGTCATTTTTGCATAAGTTCCATGATTCTGTCAGATAAACTACCAAAAAGCATTGGTTTGACCAACCAAACCCAAGATTGGAATTGCACATACAAGGAGGAGAGAGGACTGCCTATTTCACGAATAACAGGTGACAAACCAAACCTAAGATGTTACGTTGGTTGCCAGCCACCCCAACTTATGCGAAAGAACCTCCAAAGGATAAATCCTTTGGACTAATCACAGAAACTCCTCAGTTTTAGCAAGGTTATAAAAACGATAATATAGGTCATTTGTTCAGTGCCAGATCATTTGTTAATTTGGTTCCTTTGAATGTACAGCTCGTTCCAGGGATGTTTGGGTTTTTTGCATATAAAGCTGCAGCATTGATTCAAGTATACAGAGATAACGAGGACCTGCACTTGATATTTCCAGATGAAGAGGCAGAAAGTAGCTGAAAAAGCATAATACTGGTAATCTCCAGTCCTGTTTTAAGTTCAATTTCCAGTTTTTCTATGAGCATTTGCTGCATTTTGCAGGATTATTGGAGATTCTAATGCTTGAGTTGTGCTTGGTGAAGTTATCGAACGGGTGTACGAGGAAATATTTTCATGAAATTGCAACAACTCTCCTGAAATAAAGCAATCGAAGCTGCAAGAAAACTGCTGTGAATTCTGCTACTCTTGCCTTTTTCTAGTCATGAAGTACGAGTTGCTGACCGACCAGGGGAAGAATTTAAGCTTTGCGCATTAATCTTCATGTAATCTTGGTGCTTTTAAGTGGTCAGATCAGGCATCATTTAGTGTAAGTTGATTTCAGTTTGTACCCCTGATGGACACAACCTTTATCATTTATTTGTCATGTTGTCTTTGGTCAACCTTGTAGTGTTATTGCAAAACTTGATTGAAACTACCTAATGAATAGAGATGTGAAGGCATCCTAAACAGCGGATGAGAGTGAGAAGGAAGAAATCCCCTGGAAAGCTTTCTCTGGAGAATAATTGTTGTCAGAGATTTCTCTTGAGATGAATCAACATGGAAACAAATGTTCAAAATACAAAGCTCAATAAATCAGCAACATGCAAGTCTCTCCCCTATAAAGCTTCCATATTTAAATTACATAATTATAGGATTATGGGAAAAATGTTTTAAAGCAATATTAGGATTGCAGGATTTTGAATGACATATGAGTTTAAGAAATATTTAAAACTGCAGGGATATGAAAAAAATGAATTATGAAAATAGAGATAATTCTAGGAAAAATTAATTTCAAACAATATGAATTTGGAGATGCAGGGGATCGAACCCTGTACCTCTCGCATGCAAAGCGAGCGCTCTACCATTTGAGCTACATCCCCGATTGAACATTATCATCTAGAGTAATATATGATCCAAATTATACCCACGCACATGATTTCTTATTATATAGTGTAATTTATTTTTTCATAAATGTAAATAATAAATTGTCAAACCATGTTAATCCTACGTTAATTTTTTGATTATTAACTTCTAAGTATATTGTCTGGTGAAACCTTCCAAGTTTCATTGATTTGTGTTGCATAAAAACATTATAAAGAGTATATTATGATGAGAAGAATAAGTATTGTAATTAAAAGAGAGATTTTTTTTGAACATTATAAAAAATTAAATATTATTTTGATTTATATTTTTTATCGATATATTTTAAGAAGACTAATAAAATATTAAGAAGAATAAATATTATAATTAAAATGAAGCGAGATGATTAGTATTAGTGGTGGGAGAGAAGAGAGAATCAACATAAAAAAAATTATTCCCAAAAATCACAATTCTAGAATTAAGAATATTGTTGTTACAAAGCCCCATAACAAAAAAAATACATGTACTCAATCCGACATTATTGTTATAGAAAATTAACCAAATTGGATCGAATAAATATACGACAATCTTTTTTTTACTTAAACAACTAAAATATAATTCAAAATCGATCACTTCCAAATCTTTTCACTCTATTATATTATTTTATTATTATATAAGCTCTATCTTAGTGGGTGGTATATTCGTAAAAAAGAAACATTCGCAACAGTGTTTTGGTACAGAATTGCTATGGGATCGATCGCCTCCTCCCCGCATAAATGGCATATCTTATTTCCTCTTTTATTCTCTTCCGCAGTCTCATTCCTCTCTCTCTCTCTCTCTCTTCCAGGAACGAGGAAGAAGGGAGAGAAACGAGGTGGAAGAAGGAGAAGAAGCGGAGACCGTAGCCTCGCGTCTTAGTGGATATCTGGGTATTTCTTCTTCGTTGTTCCCTTCAATTCTTCGATCGTTTCTTCCCCTCTGTTTTCGATTTCTTTTAATGGATCGAAACTCTATTTCTTGTTTCCCTATTGGATGTCCGCGGTTCCACTGATCGCCAGATTCCTCCTCTCTTCGTTTCCTGCTGTAGATCTTTCGATTTCCCTCTGCTCTGATGTAGATCTGGGATCTTTTCTCCGGATCCTGTATCGGTGCAACTCACGATTTGAAAATGTTTGACTGATGTTTGCTATTCTGGATCTGTTAGATCGGGAAGAATGGGGCTCACGTTCGCGAAGCTCTTCAGCCGCCTCTTTGCGAAGAAGGAAATGCGGATCCTGATGGTTGGGCTTGACGCGGCGGGTAAGACAACCATCCTGTACAAGCTGAAGCTCGGGGAGATCGTCACCACCATACCCACCATCGGTGAGAATTGTTTGTTTGCCCCCTCAACTTGTATTTTGTTATTGAACTAAGTTGATGAGATATGAGATAATATGGTTCCTTCTTTCACCTCTAGTTTATGTTGATTTGTTTATGATGGTGTCTGAGGATGCTTGTTTGAGTCGATTCATCATTATTTCTTTTAATTCTTTTTGTTTATAGCGAGTAATTGGTTTTGTTCTAAAATAAAAGGTTATGTTCTGCACTTATTGTTGTGCTTATCTAAATTCAGTTCTTAAATGAGCGTTCAGCTTTTGCTATTTTATGTAGATAGGTGCCTCACTACTATTTGTCTCGTTAGAAAGTGATCATCGTTTATTTATGATTGCAGTGACTTGGGGATAATATTAACATTGAATCTGATATATCTAATTTTTGCCACAATACTGTGGTGCCTAGTGCTCTCTCTCTTTTTTTATATTAATAAATTACCTCATCCAACTTTTCATCATTTAAAAAGTAAATAATCAATATAATATCTTGTAGTTGCCCCTCTAGCATTGATGTTTATATGTTATTCAAAGGATATGTTAACTGTTTCACTAGTGGCTTCAGAAATCATGCAATGGAACCTCTTGATGAGTTTTTATGATGGTATATGAGGATATTTGTTTGAATGATTTTATCATGCCATTTCTTGTTATCTTTTTTATAGCCAGTAATTGGTTTTGTTCTCATGCTTCTTAAAAATAAGTTATGTTCTACGCTTATTGTTGTGCTTTTAGTTGCTTGAGCACATAGCTTTTTTATTTTTGTGCTATTGTTTGTTCTTTTGCTTCATAAAAATAAGAGCATTTAGCTTATGATATTTTATGCAGGTAGATGCTACACTGCTATTTGTCTTGGTATTAAATGGAAAAATACTCATAATAATTAGAATGAACATTATGGTTTTTAATTAATTAATTATATTTGACTGCAGTGTCTTGAATATAATATTTACATGACACCTATATTTCTCTGATTGTCACAAGATGGTGGTGCATAGTGCTGTATGTTTATATATTGGTGGATTACCTCATCCCACTAGGCATCACCAAACAAATAAGTGTTCAATGTCATTTCTTACTCCTCTAGCCTTGATGTTTCACTATAAAGCAAGGATGCCATTCAAAGGGTATGCTACCTGTTACACTAGTGAGCTCAGAGATCGTGAAATGTAACCTCTTGAATCACACACCTAACATATGGATCACTGAAGTCTTCTTTTTGGTTCAATGCCAACTGTCGTTATTGGATTATATTTTTTTGGTAGTCTGTGTGTTGGGAAAATGAGAGTGATATGCTTTCTGTAATGGTTTACAATATATAAATATCTTCCACACTGATGTACTTGGTGATTGCTACCAACTGTTTATCAGTTTACTTTTGATCTTGCCTCATAATTTTGTCAGTGCTTGTCAATCCTATGCAGTTACTGGGACAACAATGTCCATTCTATTTTACTGGTGTACCACTGCTGGAAAGATGTTCAGTGGGAATAATACTTTTTATTAGGATGACAGATTATCTCCTTTGTTTCAAGTTCTGAAATTATTTCTGATCAACGTTAATATAAAAAGAAACAGCTGTGATGGCCAATACTGCATATTATGCATTTGAAGTCGTAGCAGTGAAGATTATTGTCTACCTAAATGCTTCTTTGTAGAAAAGTGCTTAGGCAAAGCCTAGGTAACCTGCTTGTGAAAACTTTCTCCCTCAGTTCTGGAAACTGAGCTTTTGGTTTCCATTATTTCTGCCCTTTATGATTCAATATCCGTAAAATGTAATTGCGTTATGAAAGAATGTTACACTTCTAGTCCAACTTTTAACTTTGTGCTTTCTGATGCAGGATTCAATGTGGAGACTGTAGAGTATAAAAATATTAGCTTCACTGTCTGGGATGTTGGTGGCCAGGACAAGGTATCCGCAACTATTTATGTTTTTTATTATGCATGAGAAATGGTTAAATCTATGGCTGCTTAGGAAGATACTTGTTCTACTGATCTGGACAAATATTTGACTTTGGAAAATAGGTGGAATAGTGAAGTGATATTGAAGCATTTTCTTCTCAAAATGCTGACAATGTACCATTTTAGTTGAGAAAATCAAAAGAAGTTTGCATTACTTTTGTAACATATTTCTCTTGTAAATGAACACTGTCTTATCTGCATGGCTTATCACATTGTGACTGATGTTCTGGTGATCTGGTTGTGTGGAGAACAGATCAGACCTTTATGGAGGCATTACTTCCAGAACACACAGGGTCTTATTTTTGTTGTTGACAGCAATGACAGAGATCGCGTAGTTGAGGCAAGGGATGAACTTCACAGGATGCTTAATGAGGTAGGTTCTCCATGCTGAATGCTTCGACTTTGAAATATTTGTTATCATCTTTATGCAGTTGTGACCGGAAAGACCGAGCAATTCGGATGTACTTCCTGGTTTCATATAGTTATGGTGCATAATTTTATGTTACACTACGAGATTTCAATTTAAATATATGCCAACCTGAATGATTAAAAATGAAATTCTTAACTGGGCTCTATCAAATATTTGATAGTGTTCACAAGCAAATTGTCACACACATGAGGTCTCTTCTTTTGCATTTTGGGACAAGAAGGCATATTCATCATCACATCTTGTTTTTCTAAAGCAAGGGTTGATCTAGAGTTATCTAGGGAGTCTGAGGCCCCCTCAGCTTTTTACTTTTTTTGTTTAATTCCTTGGATATTCGTCTCACAATCTTTGAAGTAGCAGGATTTGAATCATCTAGCATCCCTAATGTAAATCCTTTTATATTATCAAATTGAATACATTTCTACAGCTGTCAGGTAGACAATGTTTCTATCTTACCCTTATACTAGGTACGACTATTTTTGTGATCCTTTACGTCTGTTTTAAAAGTGAGTTTTGTGATGAAAGAACACAACCATCATCCACATCCGTTCATACGAGATAACTTATAGGATATAATGTCCTCGTTATCTTTTATTACAATTTCCATATAGTTCTATTTTTTAAATACTTTTTTAGTAGATAACATGCATATAGAGGTTAGCATATGTTTATCAGGATAATTCAAGACCATTTATTGACCTCACTCTTGTAGCCTTGAGGGATAATCTTCAAATGCATATGTTTTTATGGTTGTTGTAGGATGAGTTGCGCGATGCTGTCTTGCTCGTGTTTGCAAACAAACAAGATCTGCCAAATGCTATGAATGCTGCTGAAATCACTGATAAGCTTGGTCTGCATTCCCTGCGTCAACGGCATTGGTATAGCATCCTCGTTTAGCTAAGAGCTGATAATAAATTATATTTTGCTACTCTATGAATAGTAGTTCTTAATGACTGCATTGAAATTCTTAGTTAAGATGATAATGAGCAACAATAATTCTCTATTCTAACTGTGTTGAAATTATAGGAATATTCAAGTAATCAAGTTGCATGCCTGATTATTGAATTCCTTGGTTCCCGGGAAAAGAAAGATGAATGGACATATTTGTCTTAAGGTTTATATTTAGAAACCTGTATCCAACTATGACACAAGTGACTCAATGATAAAATTCTATCCATTCTCGTTTTATGAATTTGTTTGTGCTGCAGCCTCTTTTAGATTCACTTCTGATTCAGAAAGGCTTTAACGATAGTCGTAGATAATGATATGATCATATTCATTCATATGATAATGGTATACAAACCTGATAATGTTACTGTGCTGGAATTTTGTTTAGGTACATACAGAGCACTTGTGCCACATCCGGTGAGGGTTTATACGAGGGGCTTGATTGGTTGTCCAACAACATAGCTAGCAAGGTATTTTTGTTCTGCGCATCACCGACGTCCTATCCTGCGATCTTTTATGTTAATAACCAGAATAATCGCAGTTTTCTGTTCCTAGAATAAGTTTTGAACTTTCAAGCTTTTGTGTTGATGGGATATGATAATTTTCTCGTCTGCCAGGCTTAAAAAATGTGGAAGATGCAACAAGAAGTCTCAGATGCAAGGAGCAACTGCGTTCCCCTTTTCCGTATCCTGACGATGCTTTTGGTACATTATGACCCAAGACACTTTTTAAGCTTTAGCGTGTATGGATGATCTTATGTTTGGTTCTTTGTTGCCACCTGACGTTTTATGTATACACATGGTTTTCTAGTTCTTTCACTGGAAAATCTGCTTCATTATCTTGATCACACGCCTGTATGACTTCTTAGATTTCCATTAAAACCATGCTACTTTCGTGCTTCGAAATGTCACATACAACATGAACATGGTCTAGCCGTAGATGCAGCAAAATGAGACGGCAAAACCACATCAACGGGGCGTAAAAGCTGCAGTACGTAGAAACGCGGATCGCCGCAGGCAGACTACCTCATAGCCCAACACCACCAGACACACTGAAGAGTGCGGGTTTCCCAAGTCGCAACAAAGGATACAGCGACAGGGCCTCACTTATCGCCATGGCGGCCGAGGCGAAGCGATGGCGGCCCCGTTCCCTCCTCTCCCATCTTCCCCACGTCGTTGAACCCTTGCCCGCTCGACTGGTCCGCCTCCTTCACCCGCAGCGGTACATCGTCATCGCCGCCCTCGGCATCCCTTACCGTTGCACACACTACCGTCAGTCTCTCCTCCTCCTTGGGCTCAGTCTCATCCTTGGAGACGCTCAGCTTCTCCTTTATCGACTCTGCCATGCTCCCTATCGCACCAAATAAACCCCCTCCCCCCGCTTCTTTGCCCCTGCACATTCAAGAAATCTGTCAAATCTTAAATGAGATCGAAAGAGACCAATCTCACCATGTAGAACAATGACATACTCCTCAGTCCACTGCCTACTCTCTTCCTCCCTTCGACTTTGCTCCTCCTTTCGCTTGGCCTCTTCCATCTTCTGTTCCGCCTTCTCCTCTGCCTCCGCCAACCTCTCCTGTCAAAATAGAAGTAGAATAAGATGTTTCAAAAGCTCCAACTCCACAATCGGGATCCTGTCGTACCTTTGTTACTTCTCCTGTCCCGGCCAAGTAGTCTCTCGCCTTGCGAGCCGCGTCAGCTGCTGCATCCTTGTACTCCTCCATCTTCTGCTTGGCTGATTCTGTCGTTCCCTTCGTCTTCTCAGCGACCATGTCCTTGGTTTCCCTGGTCTCCTCCGCAGCTTGCCTCGCCCTCTCCTCCGCCGACTCTTTGTGCTCCCTAGCCTTCTCTGCTGCAGTGTCTTTCGCCTCCCTCTCCCGCACCTCCGCTGACTCCTTGTACTTCCTCGTCTTCTCCGCTGTAGCGTCCTTCGCCTCCTTCGCCTTGTCTGCTACGTAGTCTTTGTAACCCCCCGCCTTCCCCATGGTCTTATCCTTCATCTCTCTTGCCTTCTCCGCCGCAGAGTCCTTGGTCTCTCTTGCTGTCTCCACCGTCTTGTCCTTCGTCTCCCCCGCCTTCTGCGAAGCGGAGTCCTTGACCGCCCTTGCCTTCTGCACGGCGGCATCCTTGGTCTCCCCTGCTTTCTCCGCGGTCTTCTCGGCCGCCTCCTGCGTCCGGCCGGTTATGGCTCCGAATAGGGACTTGGTACCCTCCTTGATGCTCTCGAGGACGCCGCCACGCCGCTCCTCGCCGCCCTGCAGCCCGTAGTCCTTGTGCAGGCGGAGGCTTTCCTCGCGCTCATGCTCAGCCTCCCGTTGTCTCCCGCGTTCGCTCCGGATGGCCGCGAGCTCGTCAGCTGCCTTTCTCGCGGCGGCCTCAGCTCGCTCTTCTCGTGTCTCTTGACTCACCGACATTGTTCACTTCTCACTCCCACAATTAAACTGCACGCGCACACACACACTCTCTTCTCTCTTTGTTTTCTTCGTATTCCCAACTTCGATCCCTCCATGATTAAGAGGATGGAGAGGTATTAATAGAAGGATGAGGGAAGGGTACGTGGTCGTTCATGGCTACCCCAAAGCGTGGCATGTCCAAACGTAGGACAGGTTTGACGACACGACTCCAGTAGATGGACACGTATATGGTCAATGGTCAAAAGATTAAAGACTGGCCATGGACACATGCATTGGAGAAGATGTACTCGTACCGGACACCTGTCCGGAATACGTTATATCTTAATTCAAAATTTTATTTTGATATTAAAAGATCCTATTTGTATTTAATAAAAATAAAATAATAATAATAAATTTATGGATTTTATTAAATTATTTTATTTTTGTAAAAAAAGAGTGATACATTGCTCTGTTAATATATATTAAAATTTTAAATATAGACATTTCACTTTATCTTATTATTTTGTTTGATTCCATACTTATCTTGAATTCTAAATATATTTTACATAAATTGTTATTTTATCTTTTTAATCAAAATGAAATTTATAAACTATTTAAGAGGTGGAACAAAAGTCATTGAAATTATTTTTTGCTCCACTAAACAAAAATGATAATTATAATATTTTTTGGGTTTATTTTGCAGCTCTTTGTCATAATTCTAAAAATAGTTTTAAGATGAATCTATGTCTTTCAAATCGAAAAAGTTTAACATGACAGATTTTACTAGATAACTTGAACAACTGAATTAGGCCTATTTTCTATTATAGAAAAAACTGTTCTTTTTTATAAATACTATCCAGTGAAAAGATTGAATAGCTATGTAGATTTTGAAATTTTAATTGTCTTTTAGATGATTTATGTGAAACCTACTAAAAAATAGAATTAGAAAAAAAATGATAAGTTTTAGAAGATATATATATATATATATATACATCTCAGATATTCTAAAGGAGTCAATAGGTTTATCATTTCTGATTTTAATAATTTTAAAAGAGTCAATAGGTTTACTGTTTCTGATTTTAATAATTTTAAAATGATAGATCATTTACCTATTAATGGTCAGATTCACACCTTTCACAATTTAAGTCTGTGAAATCATAAAAGTGGTACTACATTTAGTAAATCACATTAAGTTTCATATATATATATATATATATATATATATATATATATATATATATATATATATATATATATAT